AGCCATATTTCAATTTTTTTACAAATAAGCATACAAACATAAATATTAATTGTACATTAGTTAAAGTCACATGCAAATTTTTCCGTGCATGTATTTGTTAAGATTGATTACAGACTAATTTTTATTTTAATTATTATACAATTTATATTTTTTAAAAAAATATTTATCTATTCTAAGTGTAGTGAAATATTAAAACAATATATATACAAACATACCAATGTTTTAAAAAACTAATCAACATTTAAATATTACAATTAACTATGTATATAAAAAAATTATACCCGCACGTATGTGCGGGCAACCACCTAGTTGTTCATTAAAATCATATATTGCTTATATTATTTCTGCACATGATTTGCACGAATTTTGTTAAACTGAATCTTATTCATTAAAATCGAATATTTCTTCATATTGTTTCTGCACAGATTCATTAAATCAAATGTTTTTCTATATTGTTTTTGCAAAGAATCGTTTTTACACGGATTTTGCACGGATGTTATTATTCATATCTAGATTTTTTTAAAAAAAATCTGCAATAGTTTTGGTTTTTCAATATTGTTAACCTGGAGTTTGCACATATATAATTATCTGAATTTTGCATTGGCAGTTTATCTTGAATTCATTAGAATTTTACACGAGTTTTGCACATATATCCCGATTTTGCACATAATTATTGCATCAGGCTTGTATGTTCTTACGAGATTTGCACTGGTACATCAAAAATTGTTTATTCTCATTATCACAAAATTTGCACATATTTTATTATCTGATCTCTTTTGATTATTGATTGAGTTATTTTATGACATGTTATATTTATTTATATTTATATATATATATATCATATTTTATATGATTGTATTTATTTGTCATCATATCTTTGATGATTTTAAGATTAAATACTTGATTAGAGCAATATAAAGAAAAGACATTTCACCAGAATGTGATATGACCTAACTTATCATAGATGACTGCATCTAAGACAACATGACTTTTGAAGTCTCAAATGAAGATAATATCAGTGATACAAAGGAAAACATTTTATAAATATTGTTGTCCTGCAGACACAATAACATTAAAGATATTTTGAGAAGTATTTTAAAATTATTTATTCTCTTTTAAGCTTCTTTTAAAAATTCAAATTGTCACTTGAAGTGATAATAGAGATGGTACATGCCACTGATTTAGTTGATTTAATATGCTTTTGTTTATACATATGTAGTTATATAATAGTTATTTTTCTACCATTATTTATATGAATATTTTAAATTTGCTTATAAAAGATCCCTAAGTTCTTTACATAAAATCTAAGGAAAAGTATGATCACTATAATGTGATATTACCTCAAGCTTATTATGAGTTTTTACATCTAAGATTATAAGACTTGAAGTCTGTAAATAATTCTTATTATGTTGAAGATTATGTGAAGAGAATATCACTAATCTAGAGATGCTAGAAGACATACTCTAATCCTTAGACAAATAATATTGTCTTGTAGACAATATGAAATGAAGTTAAAGAACTATTTTGAAAAGATAAATGAGTTATTGATAAAAATTCATGAAATATATCTAATTAGTTATGATCCATTCCTTGAAGAGAATGTGACATTATATAGTGGGATAGAAAAGAATCATGTTAACAAAATTAGCCAAGGAACTGGCTCAAGAAGTGGTCATGAATGTGAATATGAAATGAATATGATCAAGTTCTAGATCAAAATTTTTATTTCAAGAACTCAAATTCTTACAAGAAGTGAGAAAATAAAGATGTATAAACAAGAGGTATTTCTCTTGTCTAAAGATAAAATAAACTACTATGAGTACAAAATCTAGTAATATATGGATTATTGAAAGCTCTAGAAGAGTAGATATATTTGTCAGTAGGAATGCAATTATTGATGTATTATATCTTCCAAGTCTCAAAAGTTTAACGAATCAAAGATATAAGACACAATCCAAGTTGGATATGTTATTGATTTTAGATTGGGATTCAATTCAAAATAGATGAACCTGAAGTGTCATCATCTCGAGGGGGAGAATTGATGAATCCCATAATCCATAATAAGTAAAACATCTAGAAGAACATGTTCAAAGTCAAAATGATATTGATGAATCACTTATAAGATAATTTTAATGGATTTTAAAGTTAATCAAGTTAGGACAATAAAGAAGGAAAATTTGAATACCTTCAAATCTAGAGTATTACTAAATGCAGTAAAAGTATTTTGGAGAAATTACATACATTCTCTAATAGATTGTAATATATAAAGATTGTATAATGGAGATAAATGTTATATAGTAAACCAGAAGTTTAAAGAATATAACATAGTTTGACATGAGCTGGTTAGACCATTCCGGTTCAAGAAATATGCAGAAATAATTAATAGGTCTATAGACATCCATTGAAGAACTTGAATATTCTTCCTAATGATTTAATCATATGACAAATATGATTTTATGATTTTGACTAGCCAAAATAGATTTGAAATCTATGTCATTTCCTAGAAAGTTTACAAAGAAAAATTTGTGGTTAAATAATTTATTATATTGAATATCTGCAACTTGAAGTTTGCTAGACCCCTTGGCAATGTTAGTGAATTCACGTCTTAAGCTTTTGATGATAAAATCATAAAGATAAATATTGAACATCTAGTAGCAAATGTTCATACACAAAATCGAGAAGTATTAATTCGCATAAAGCCAACAAGTAATCAAAGTTCTCCCATCAAATCTGGTTTTGGGTCAGAAACCAAATATTTTCCATCTAAATGATTTGGATGTGCAGTATATATCCACATTGCTCCACCATAACGTTATAAGATGGATCCTCAAATGAGGTTGAGAATATATGTTGGATATAAATCTCCATTGATAAATAAGTATGTAGAGTCCATCCATGAAGGATTTATATTAGGCTCGATTTGTAGATTGTCATTTTAATATGTCAGTAATTCCAACAAAATAATAACAATTTAATATGTTATATGCTTCCGATGAATAAAAAAAGTTTTCATTCAGTGTAGCTTTATTATTTCATTAATTTTTCAATACAAAAACTAAAACTACATGGTATTCACAAATTACTATACTTATCGATGAAAGTTTACTAAAAAAAATTATAAAAAATTATAAAATTAAAATATTTAAATGATTACAAATCCACGTAATGTGCGGACCTTCTCCTAGTATATATATTTATATTTATATAAAGAGAGCTTTTTTCTCTTCTGGTTCTGTCACCTCAGCATCCACATTATTAATTATTTTTATTTAAATTATTTTATAAGATAAATTAACCTTAACATTCAATATATAAAATAGGAATCATTAATAAAAAATTATAATATACAAATTAACATTAACATTCATTATAAAAAATAAAAAACATTAAAAGAAATTTATAATATGTTTTTGGAAAATAAAAATCAACAAAAATAATGATATGCATTACTTCTAAGCATCCTGAGATTCAAGGCTGAAATTTACAAGTGTGTGATGAGAATTGGTAATTACAAAGACAGATTACAATCCCAGAGGAATTCCAACAAAAACAAAACATGAAATTTGGGTAACGAAACGGGTTTGAGAAACTGGATTATCTAAAGTCTATTCACAAACTTTTAATAATTTGAATAAAAGTCAACTACAAAAAAATTATTTTGAGAAAATTTTGGAAAGTCGAGGAAATCTTAAAAAATCTATATATATAAAGATAATTTTTCTCTCTTTTGGTTCTGCCACAACATCCATATTATTAATTATTTTTTATTTAAATTATTTTAAAACATAAAATATGAATCATAAAAGACAATTATAATACATAAATTAACATCAATATTCAAAATAAAAATAGCAAACATTAAAAGACACTATAGTGTGTTATCAAAAAATAAACAAAAATAATAACAAAAAAAAAACAAAAACAATGATATCATTACTTCTGAGTATCTGGAAATTCAAGGCAGAAATTTATGAATGTGTAATTGGTAATTAGAGAGACATAAAACAATTTCCAAAGGAAATCCAACAAAAATAGAACATAAAATTTGGGTAATGAGAAGGATTCGAGAAATTGCATTATCTAAAATCTATTCACTAACTTTCAATAATTTGGATGAAAGTCAACTTAAAATTTTTTTTTTGTGAAAACTCTGGAAAGTTGATTTTTTTTTTTAATAAATTATATATAATTTCATAAATTTTAATTTTTAAATGTGTAATTCGAATATTTAACATCATATATATTCTCATTTAGTATCTGTTTGAATAAACCAAATAATCTCGAATGGATAATATTTGATTGAACTTGAGATAAAATGAGAAGTTTGATATGGGTACGGTGAGAAAAAGAAACAAATCACAAAATATCCAAAGTTAAATAATACAAAAAATACAATGGGTCTGACTGGTATGTCAGATGAATAACAGAATAATAGTATAACTGAAAAATTACTAGCGGGACGAACTGAACTTAATAACATTTTGGCTGAATAATTATGAAACGCTGAAAAGCCGCTTTCTGTAGATTAACCATATTTTGTTTTTTTCTGTTTGTTATATTTTTAACACGCTAGCGGAATCACGTTTTAAAAACATAAAAAACATGAAAACAGTGAAAAAGCTACACACCATCGTAACATTTTCTTTCGCTAATTTTTTTGTATTATATAACTTTGGACATTTTGTGATTTGTGTGTGAGAAATAGAAATTCATCATAATATTTTCAAGGATATATGATACAACAAATGTTATAAACAAAAATATATAAAAATTATTGATACGGTAGCGCGGATCATCAACTAGTTATGATATATAGTTAAAGAGGATGAGTACATTCTACATTTTTACCAATGGTTCGAGTCTTCTTGACTTCTTCTACAGAGAGCTCTCTTCTTTCCTCCGGTAAGGACACGGAATAACATTATTAACATTATCAAATACCACTAATTAAAAAAATTAGGACATAAAATAATTGTTGAGAGGGAGAAAAAGAAGCAACTTCAGGATTTAGATTTTGTGGGTCGTTGCTTCTTACGGAAGAGATAGTTTATGAGCATCCCGACTAAAGGGAAACCTGTTACCACGCCTATGTAACCAAGCAACCATATCGACCGTTTTCTCTTTATTACATCATCCTTACGCTTTGGTCCGGTCTGGTTCGATACTTGTGTTGCTTCTTCTGACATTGTGGTGGTTTCCTCGTAGTTTACTGCTGCCACTAACCCGTCTTCCGTAATGTTCAGGTACGGTCCTTGGTTTATCGAAGGCTCCTCTTCCTTTCCTGATCCTGAGCTTCTTCTCTCTTGAATCTGAAAGGTTGAACAGAGACTTAGAAACTTTCTTACAAACAAGCTAGATGCAATTCTAACAAACAGAGGCTTACTTTCTGTACATGCATATGACTACTGCAGCTAAGGGTGCAAAGAAACTCGTTGGTGGCTCGAACCCACCTGTACACAACTTATTAGTACTTGTAATCTGTTTTTTCTTTCACTATTTGTATAAATCTTTAGAGATACTAACCACAAGCTAGATGCGGTTAATCCTTCGAAGAACGCTAGATGTCCTCCGTGATTTGTTGTAGCCAAGACAATGTTTTTGTTTGCCCTTTTTCAAAAAAACTTTCATGTCAATAATCTCTGTAACAGGATTCATGGTTTAAAGAGAGTGTGTATATATTACCGGCATTCGTCCCAGGGAATAGCTTCTTTTGTGCATAATGGATCATCTAAAGCGCTTATACAGAGTAACGGCACCGCCACGTTTCCTACGTATTGTGTACTGCTAGATTTTCGGTAATACGTATCCACGGTCTGCGTATAGATGTATATATAGCAATGACAGCCAATTCTAGAGGAGAAATAACATCAGAAAGTGAAAATAATACGGAGGAGAAGTGATACCTCAAATTTTCCGACAATACAGGTAGCATGGTTGTCAAAATCTCGGATGGAACGTGACTGATGAGGCAATAAAGTTGCACAAGAACATAAACAAATATGCAAGTATGAAGTTTTGTGCACTTACCATGTAGACTGTATAGTTCATGGATATGTGGTTACAATACTAACCTTTTTTATGCCTTCCCAATTAGCAAGACGTGTATACTGAGGCTCATGTCTGCAAATGAAAACTAGAGTTATAACTGAAAACCTGATCTTCTCAAAGTAGTATATCTGAAATCTCTCCCAACCCATCTTACAAACTCATGATCTAGGTGGTTTTTGACTAAAGAGGTGAACATACAATTGGGCATAACCTTGGAGTCCTATGGTGAGAGCTTTGTCGTATAACTTTTGTTTCAACGTTCGACAGATGAACCTGTCACCAATCTTATTGGGAGAAACACAAGAAAAGAAAGCATAATGTATCATTGTATCAAACGAAACCCTTAATTAGTACTATTTACAACTTCAAAGGTCTGAAATTAGAAAACGTTGAAGTAAGTAAAGAGAACTTAAGACAAGGCAAATGTTGGAATCAATATATCGAGAAGAAGACAGTTTAGAAAAAAATAGCTCACCAAGAGGTCCCACGGAGAGCAAATAGCTACAGCACCCCTCAGAGGAGTCTTTTCACCCTCTTCCCCAAGGTACTTGACCTGAAACATGAGACAGATTCAGGCTTATGTTGTCTATTAGATAAAACTCCTCGTGCGTATCAAACGGTATTAGAAAACCTAAACAGACAAGCTACTCTTTTATTCTGTATGGTGCAGCCAACTGCGAAATATGAAATAGAAGATCCATGGAAGACAAGCAAATCATTACACTTAAGCTAAGCGTAGTTGCTCAACTCAACTGGATCAAATAGAAGTGTACATAAGAAACTGAAACTTGTAAAACACTAAAATCTTGATTTAGTACCAGAACATTTGCTCCAATGCTAGTTCCAATGGCAAAGAGAGGAGCCATTGGGTATTCTTGTTGAAGATGTCCAAGAACTACACGTATATCCTCTGTCCATCCAGCGTTATAGAAGCGATCGGACTGCATGCATTTGCAACATAACAAGATTACAGAAGAATACGTATTTGAAAACCCAAAAGGTTTTAAAAAACATGAAAACATAATACACAGAGACAGAACAAAGGAAACTCACAGTAACAGAAACACCACCCAATCCTCTATGGTTGCTAATAACCACATTCCAACCTGTTTTTGCAGTGTTGTAAGCAAGATGCTTTAGATACTGCAACAATAAAAAAACTCCAATGCAAGCCAATCAGATATTTAACCTTCATGGGGTTTTATGTACTGTATAAAGCACAAGTCCTAGATTATAAAAGAGACTTACTGCAGATGAAGAATCGCTAGTTAACCCTGGAATAACTACAGCAATAGGTGTTTTGTCTTCTTTTAAGATTTCATTCTGAGAACCATCAAGAACTGCACAAATCAAAACCGATCCAATCAAAAATGATATCAAAATCAACGTTTCAGTAACTAAATTCTACCATCAGAATTCATCAACGGTTCAGGTACTAAAATTTTACCATCAGAATTCGTCAGCCAATCCAATGCAATCGTTCCACCATCAGAAGCACGAAAGAGCTGTCTGAGCCAGTAAAAGAGAAAAACAAAACGTATCAATACACTTCATTCAGCTACAATGAGAGTAATTACGATCTCAATCGCACAAAACGCTTAAAATTTTAGCAAAAATTCGAATCACCTGCTGTAGCTGAAAACAGGAGGCAGTCCGTTGAAATTCAGGAAACAAGTTTGAAGATGAGGACTCGCTAACCACGGCGTCGCCACATATCTTAAGCAAATCAAATCCAAAATCCAAATTCAAAATCCCGAAATCGGTTTCGCAACAAACGCCCAAATTTCAAAATGTAGTACAGAGAGGTGTTTGCGTTCTCACCGTCCGTGAAGGATCCGGCAACGAGAGACAACGCCGTGGTAAAGAGGTGAATCGGGATTGTAGATGAGATTTACGCGGCATTTGAAATAGTGAAGAATCGTATCGCCAAGGAAATGGAACTCGAGGAAATTGTAGAAGAAGACGGACCAGATAAGGAAGAGAGCGAAGAGGTAGTGACGAATAGGGATGAGCAAGAGAGCTTGAAAGAGAAGGTCGTATGGAGAAGAAGAAGAAGATAAAATCGAATCGTCCATTGTTGTGTGTGTGTGCGTGTTTTTTTCCAGATCCGGCGATAGGAATTCGAGACGGATCTTCTTCAATTGTTGGTTGGGCGAACGACAAAGTGGCGGGTGCAGATTTTATTGTGACGGACTAATTTTTAATCATTTTTTAATTCATAATTTGAAATTCCTTTGTATGAGTTATTTTTACACGCAGAGGTTTTTCGCTTGTCACGTGTAACATTCTATGTTGCATGAAAACTCAATTCAAGTTGCGTTTCTTGTTTTGCAAAATAAAATTTGGTAAAAACGTGATAGAAACCTGTTTTCTGAAAATCTTAAAGAGACCATAGAAACGCGAGTTTCCTGTTTGAAAACGTATGTATCCATTTTAAAAACAGTTTTAGATATTTTTAAAAAAAATATAGAAAAAAATCATTAAAGAATATAAAGATATATTCTCTGTTTTACAATATAAGTTATTTTAAAGATTTTTTTATTTTATAATATAAGTTGTTTTTAAAATTCTAAGCAAAAGAATAATATTTTAATTAATAAAAATAATTTAAAAAGTTACAAATAAAGATATAATGTGATTTAATAGTATTTTTTTTACTTAGTTAAGTATTATTCATTTATTATTAACAAATTAATGATAGAAAACTATAAAGCAAATAATACATAAATATGTGTTTTAACCTAAAATAACTTATATTTAGAAACAGAATAATATTTCAAGTGAGAAGTCTCGTCCGGGGATCGAAACATCTATTTGTTTGCGAGTGTTTCAAGGGGTTTGCTAGTATGAAAGAAGGAGTTCAGTAAGTATAAAAGTAGAGTTTCTGATTAAAGAAAGGACTTATCCAGGTTGGCATCGCCTTGAGGGAATGGGGTGATTCCTTCTCAGCCATGCTATTTGGTGGTGGGCATCCCTTAGAGTCAGCTCGAGGGCGTTATCTTCCTTAGATCGGGTTTTTGTGAGGATCTCATCTTTTTATACTGGCTTTTCCCCGTCATGTTCTCTCCATTCGGCACGTAAGAGAAGCAGGTGGGCTAATGATTCATGCGTGTTTAAGAAAGCTCGCCAACTATCCGAGAACAATGTTTGAGAGTTGTTGGTCGAGATAGCTTAGCCGTGTCAGTGTCTAGGGTGGTCCACTCCACATGTCATACTGTTCTTGAAAGTGATAAAATCAGTCCGAACAGATAAATAAAATTGTTATAATTTTTTGATAGTTAAAGAAATTCAATTTGAAAAAGCAAATATAATTTTAGTGAATCTTATACTTATGGCTTGAGAAGTGATCGGGTCAAATGATTATTCAAATTGAAAAACCATAACCCTATCATTAACATTACACATTCATCAAGATGTCATTTATGAGGAACAAACAATTTAAAATTCTTTTGATTCATGAAGTGTTATACCAAAGCCTCATATTCAAGATGCAATTAATTATTTGGAATGAATAACATTTTGATAGATACAAAGAAATGAAAGAATGAAGAAGAACAGAGTAATATTTACGTGATTTGCCAAGAATAATTTATTAATGAATAAATTCTTCTAAAACTACTTTAAAATCATGTATTTAATGTTGATTGTCTTCTCACATAGTTTCAAACAAATTCATTAAATAAATATGTTTAAATATAAATTTTATTTATCTAAATATTTTATACATGTATTAAAATGTTTATAATATAAAAATCAAATGTAAAGAAATATTATGTAAAACAGTTATTAAAAAATGAGCTCTTGCGCAAAAGCGAATTCCATATATAATAATCTTAACTATTATTTGAGAAGCGTATTTAATGAAAAAATCTGATGTGTCCTCACCTTAGCAAAAGTTAGTACAAGACAATGCCACCTCATTAATGTGGCATGACAAATTTCTTAAAATAAACGAAATATTTTGATTGGTTAAGTAAAAACTAAATAAATTTAATTTTTAAATAAAAAAAGTTTATATCATATATGAATGAATTCTTATTATATAGCAAGAATTCAAAATTATAAATAAAATAAAAATAAGCAGATAGAAAAAAAATTATAAGTATCCTGTTAGCTAACTTTTTTTATTATAATATTGTATATATGAATAAAAAGTAGAAGGCAAAGTAAAAATGAATTTTTACGACTTTAGTTTTATGTAAAATTTCAAGCTATATTTTTGGTTTAATATATCTTCAACCCACCTTTATTTTCAATCTTCTAATTTAGAGGAAAAAGGAAGGTTGTTATTTTTTTCTCCAATTATAAGGAAAAAATAACAATTTTTTTTCCATGTAAAATAGAAATAGGTTGGAGAGAAGTCCACTTATATTTTAGAGGAAAAAATAAAAAATACATTGGAGATGATCTTAATGTTTAATATATTATTAAATATGAAGAAGAAAAAAGTATAAGTCAAAGAAGACAAAAAAATAAATACGAATAATTTTGATCGATTTTAAGTTTTTATTTGAAATTTTTAAAAATATTATCTCACACTTAATAATTCTTTAATGCATATATTCTTTCTAACATATTAAAATATTATTTCATAAATCAAGTTTTGTATACATTGTGATCCATTATTATTTTTATATTAACAAATATATTAAAGTTAAGAACAGATCAACTCTTAATTTTTAATAATAATCAAATATTAAATATAGTATTTTACACCTTAAATCATACACATATAAGTTTAGATCTGATTGGTTTAAACGATTCGATTACAGAGAGTTCGTGGAAGCGAGCGATTGCGGATTATAAAAAAGTTGACGAAGAGATGAGCGGAGAGCTACCAGAGAATTTTATAAAATATAATTTCACAAATTTTATAATAAATTTTTATTATATTTTTATTGAGAAACCATATATCAACAAATATTAAAAAATAAGAAATTTTGATTAAATACAAAACGATAGAAATGGTTTTCATGATTGTTGTTAAACGCCAATAACTGCATCGTGTAAAAACATAACGTTTGAAAATATCAAAACAAACTTACCAATTCACTTACCAGAAAAAAATTACCAATACCAGAAAATACCGAAAATACCTAAATATTACAATTCATTTATTTTTAACTCATACCTACATGCATAAATATACTTATTATTATAATTTTTTAAAAATCAACCATACATTATATAAATATATATTACAAAACATATACTTTGTTATTTTCTTTTAACACATAAAAGCCATACTTCGATTTTCTTACAAATATACATGTAGATATAAATATTAGTTGTGCAAAAGTCAAACTCGAATGCAAACTTGTCGTGCATAGATTTTGTTAACCTCGATTACACTCCAATTTGAATTTAAGTTGTTTGACAATTTATATTTTTTAAAATCTTTATACGTCCTAAGAGCGGTGAGGTGGTCGGTACGCACGAATATGCGCCAACCTTCTACCCGCTCTTAGGATAAGTAAATATGGTTAGCAATAGGTCAAAAAAATGTATACTTAAAATATATATATTGGTAAGATTATATTATTTAAAGAGAAAAAGAAAGTTTTATCAATCATTCTTATTACTAACTAGGTAATTATTCAAAATTTTATATATATTTTTAATACAAAAAAATATTTTTCTAGTAATATTTATATTGTATTTAGCATAACTTTTGTAGTTGTGCGCTGTTTTTTTTCCATCTAGGTGATTTATTTGAATGAAAATAAGAATTTTGTTAGTTTTATAACAAAACCGAAAAACATTTAGATAAATTATTTGGATGATTTTTCAAGATTTAGACAAAATTATGAGAATAATCTAAATGAACAAAATTAGACCATTTGGATGGAGAGTTTTAGTCTAAAATAAAAAATTATTAAAACACCTTTAAACTTAGAAAAAAACAAAAAAAACCCCTATTAAATTATATTTTTTGACAAAATTGACAAAATCATAAAATTACATTTTTCTAACAAAACCACAAAATTATGTTTTTTTTAGCAAAATCTTAAAAATTGTATTTTTCTCCCAAACTGGCAAAATCACTTTTTTGGTAAAATAAAAAATCACGTTTTCCAACAAAAGCTAAGAAATCGCATTTTGTTGCCAAATCCAAAAATCAAGTTTTCTTACTGAAATCATCAAATTGTATTTTTTCACCAAAACAGAGAAACTGCATTTTCATGTCAAAAACGCAAAATTGTACTTTCTTGCCAAAACTAATAAATTGTATTTTTTTTCCTCAAAAATCGAGAAATCGTATTATCGTGCCAAAACAAAAAAAAATTGCATTTTCCCTACCAAATCTAGAAATGTCATTTTCCCGTCAAACCTAGAAATTTTGTTTTTCTGCCCAAATCGAGAAATCGCTTTTCTCGACAAAACCTTCAAATTGTATTTTTTTCGCTAAAACCAAAAAATTGTATTTCCCATAATAACCGAGAAATCACATTATCCATCAAAAACCGAGAAATTGTATTTTTCATCAAAATCGAGAAATCACATTTCCTGGCCAAAGCCGAAAAATTTCATTTTTCCATAAAAACCGAAAAATTTCGTTTTCCATCGTAACTGAGAAATATTGTTTTCCGCCAAAACAGGAAATTTTTATTTTTCTGCAAAACTGAAAAATCATATTTTCTGTCAAAACCGAGAAATTTTGTTTTCGTGTGAGATATAATTACGAAAATATGAAGTAATTTAATACTATTTATTTGTGTTACTAATATATTTTTTTGTTTTCAATTATGTGTTTTTTTAAATGTTATATTTTTGTTTGTTTCCTGAATCATTTTTTATCTATTATAACTAGGCATATACCAAGAGAGAATGTGATATAGTTTTAATATAATTCATTATCTCAATTATGATTATGTTATTTTTGGTTCAATTCAATGAGTTTTAGACCCAAACTCATTTTTTTTTACCTTTTTGTAATTATATACAAGGCATGAAACTGTAAATACAAATTAATGTAAGTTTTTTTTAACTAACCAAGTCAAATCTATCTATTTTAATAAAGTAAGGTTTTTTTCAGAAGCAGCCTTCATATGCTGCCATGTGACATCTAAGTATTTGACATGTGTCATAATTTTTTTAACTATTTCTACTTAATTTTCTTTCGCCAAACAATTACAAAAACAAATCTTCAAATTTTATTTCTCCAAACCATTTTCTTTCATACAATAAACAAAAACAAAAATTAAATCGTTAAAATAAATCTTATATAATATAGTAAGGTCATGTGTCACTTTCACTAAAATAAATCTCATATAGTAAAGTCATATGTCACTTTTTGTTCTTTTTTTCTATTTCTACTAGATTCTCTTTCATTGATCTAACACAAAGATAAAAGCTTAGGATTTTTTGCTTTTCTCCAAACGATTCTCTATTTTATCCAACAAACATAAACGAAGATGAAACCATCCAACGAAGTACAAATCTTATACTCCCTATGTTCCTTAAAAAAAGTTTTTATAGAGTTTTCACACATATTAAGAACACAAATTAAAAGCATCACTATAAATGCATTATTTTTTGTGATTAACAAATTTCTATAATTATAAACCAATTGCAATTCAATTACTTTTTTTGAAGTTTACAATTTTTCATCATTGACTAAAAAAAATATATAGAAAACCTAAAATATCTATCTTTCGGAAAAAAACAAAAAATGCAGAAATTTTTTTTGTTAGGAATAGAGGGAGTATAATATAATAACGTCAACTATCACCTTTTTTGTTTTTCTATATTTTCTGTATTGACTTTCATCAAACAAATACAACAAAATGATTCAGTTTTTTTCCCTTCTCCACTAGATTCTCTTTCACTAGGTCTCATAATTCATATTATTTTTGATTTTTAACTTTTAAGAGCTGGCTATGTAATTGATTCCACTCGAAAATAGACTTATTTCGTCATATTATCTTTTTGGCCAATCAAACAAAAAATTATGCACTATTTGCTTTCATGAAATATTTTATATTAGTGGCTCACTACTCAATTTCCTACTGTATCCAACCTCAAACCACCACCACTGTCATTTCCGAAAAACCTCTAATCACCACCACCAATCGAGTATTATGGTTCTTGGTTCAACTTCAGTGTTTTTGGTTCATATAGAAAAGGCCTTGGAAGGAGCTAATTACAACAGTGTCAGCTTTAGAGTTAAATGTTCATTAGCTAGTTTCTCTCTGTTTTTAGTATGGTATAATATCTAGTTTCTTTTGTTTGGATTTATGCTTCTGTTTTTTATTTTTTATTATTTTTATTTTTGACGTATAGTTGTTATTTCTAAAATATATAGTTGTTCAAAAATATAAAGTAACTGCAGCGCACATGAATTGCATTTAATGTTTTTTTGTAGGGGCTTATGTTTCGGTCTTTTGGGCTTTGTTTTAAAAATTTTCTCTATATTCTTTTGGGTTTTGTTTATAAACCACATAGTTATTGAAGAATATAAGGTAATCGCATCACACTTGTATGGTATTCGTATTTCCCACACAGCTGAAACGGATTGCCATTGAGAGCTTATCTCATTGACGGCAATCCTAATTTTCATTATCCACTTTCTTTCAACCATAACCTCTAAAACTACTGAATCATCTTATTTTATGATTTTGATTATGAACTCAAGTAAGTATTCTCATTTCTCATGCTCTTTACTTTTCATTCTTCTCTAGTAAATTAATTTTCTTTTGGAGGATTAAAGAAACCTTACTACTGTGTAAAATATTACAGATTGCTTTTGTAATTGTTGATCTCTTATCCCAAAAAGATAGATTTTGTCTCAAAAGATCTAATCAGCGATCTACCAAATCATCTGATTTCTCACATCCTGTCTCTCCTTTCAACCAAAGAAGCTGCTTCCACATCTGTTCTCTCAAAAAGGTGGCACTTTTTGTTTGCGTCTGTGCCAAATTTTGATTTTGATGACGCAAACGAAGAGACTACCACAAGTTTTGTTGAATTTGTGGATAGAGTATTTACTTTGCTAGGGAATGGCACAATTAACAAATTCTCTCTAAGTTGTGGAGATGGTGTTAATCCAATTCGTATCAGTTGTTGGATGTTAAATGTGTTGTTACATGGCGTAACTGATCTTGATCTAAACGTGTCAAAGCTTTACCTATGTAGCCTAATCTTAAGGAGCAAGTCACTCGTGAAGCTGAGATTAGGGCCGAGATATGGTCACTCTCTCACCTCTGGCATGGAGGTGGTAGATGTTTTTCTTCCAAACCTTAGATGGCTCTTTCTTGATTCACGTTTGTTAGAAAAGGTGATGTTGGGCTTGCAAAGCTTCTCGCTGGCTGTCCCATGATTGAAGAAATAACTCTAATGAACCTCAGGTGGGGTTTTTGGAAGTCTTGCACAGTCTCTATCACCAAACTCAAGAGACAAACGTTTTCCTTTGAGCACATCATTTTGAGTCTGAAGGAAGAATCCTTTATTACTCTGAAACTTGTCTACGTAGCGTACTACGATACTATTGCAGACAAGTATATGAAAATCAGTTTTGATTTGATTATCGAAGCTCATATCAGTCTTCGGCTAACAAAAGATGTAGATGTTAACATCATAAAAAGTGGTAAGGCAATAGAAATGGTTGGAAAAGCCAACGCTTTTCTCCGGGGAATGCAACGTTCAAATACTTTTCGTATCTACCGGAGCACTTGAGGTCTGTATATGAATTTCATCTTTATCCTAATATTGTTATGTTTACCTAGAAAGATTAAGAAAGCAGACAACCTAGAACCAGGGGATGAGCTATGTAGAGACGTATGGGGTAGATTTTAAAATATTGCTGATTTTTGTTGTTGTTACGATTTTAAAATGAAAGGTATTATGACCCCATAAAATTATGTTAGGATAGCCGCTTAAAATAAAATAAAAAAAACTCTCTTCATGTTTGTGTATTTTTTCTTTGTGGTTCTTTCATTGGCCATTTGGTTCCATGAAATAGAAGATATATGATAAATAAAAACGCATTGCTTTTGTTGATAAATATAACACATTTTACCCTATATACAAATCGTTTCTTGTTCTGCCGCTCAGCTTGAATTAACATTCACGAGTGCGATGATTTACCTTACGTTCTGGGACAGGCGGATCCAGCATGTTAATGGGAGGGGCACTTGCCCACTATGAAATTTTTAAAATTAGTTTAATTTTATAATAATTTTTAAGTTTGCCCCTGTTGTTAAATTGTTTTATGCCCCCCATCATACACGCAACCACTGAAATATAAACACAAAAGCCTAATTTGTTTTTAGGTTCTAAACTACAAGTACAAAAGCCCATTATTTTAATAAGTCATATGTTTCTTTGATTTGTAAAAATTAACGAAATACTTGAATTCGTCTAAAAGGTTTGTTTTTACTAATTTAATTAGGGATTTATTTTGTTTCATAAAGCAGTTGCCGACTTTTTAACTTCTTCTCTTTCGCTTCTCTTTTTCTTACGCTTCTCTTTTGCTTTCTATTTTAAATTTTACTTAAACAATCGAACTTGAATTTTCTTCACCCTCAAAAGTCAAGAGGTCTCATCAATCAAACACAAACTCTCCAGTTTATGTAATATCTCTTTTCTCTGTTTTGTGAATTCGATTTGATTTTATTTGATTAGTATAATATTATCTTATGAACTAATGTTATTTATATTGATATGGTTGATGGTTCTAAACTTTAGTGAATGAACTTGTTAGCCTAAGTAATAACATAGATAAATTATGTTTTGTTCTTCAGCTTAATCAATGGAGCGATATTACAAAAGAAAATCTGCTTCAAATTCTGAGAGTAATTAGGATAATTTAGCTGACTTGCCGTGGGATCCAGCAGAACGGAAACAAATATTGGATGATCATCCAAATCAAAGGGACGAGGTAAGACGAAAGTATTTAACTCGAGGTCCATATCAACCCTATGTCATAACTTTGAAAAGAAGAAAATTGGGAAAAAAATGAGGCGATTTAACCCAGTTTGGTTTATCTGAACATGTGGGTGATATCAACAGCTTTCATAATATAGCTGTTAAAAGATGTGATGATTTGATGAATTATGGTCAGTCTATTGTGAATGCTTTGTATAAGCAGGATGCGGTGGTGAAAAATGAGTATCATATCCGGTTAAATGCTTTAGTTGATGCTTCTAGATATTTGTTAAAACAAGGATTACCCTTTCGTGGTCATGATGAGAAAAAAGATTCTGCAAATTCTGGGAAGTTTTAAGAGCTCGTGAAATACACTAGAGAACAAAATGATTATGTGAGGAAGGTTACTATGGAAAATGCTCCAAAAAATAACCAGATGACATCTCCAGTGATTCAAAAAGATACTGTTCACTGTTTTGCAGAGGAAGTGTTGAAATCTGTCATAGAAGAGATTGACCATGGTGTATTTCGCTTGCTCGTTGATGAATCTGCTGATGTTTCTGATAAAGAAAATGGCTGTTATTTTTAGATTTTTTGATAAAAGTGCATCAGTTAAAGAAAGATTTGTGGGAGTTATTCATGTAAAAGTAAACGTCTTCCTTATCTCTGAAACTTGCTATTGATGGCTTGTTTGTAAAACATGGATTGAGCTTGAAGAAGGTGAGAGGACAAGGTTATGATGGAGCAAGTAACATGAAAGGTGAATTTAATGGTTTGAGATCATTGGTTGCAAGAGAAAATAGTTCAGCCTATTATGTGCATTGTTTTGCTCATCAACTTAAGTTGGTTGTGGTCTCAGTTGCGAAAAAACACTTTGATATTTGTACTTTTTTCGATATGGTTTCCATGTTGTTAAATGTGGTTGTAGCTTCTGGATATTAATAGAAAGAAAGTGGAAGAAGGAATTAGTAGTGGTGACATGAGCACTAGAACAGGAAAAAATCAAGAGATTTCTCTTCCAAGGTCTGGAAATACTCGGTGGGGTTCTCATTATAGAACATTATTGTGTCTGGTTCAGCTGTTTCCAACTATCATTGATATTCTGGAGCATGTTCAAGATGAAGGCATTGATAGCTCAAAAAGATGTCAAGCATCTGGTCTTCTGAAATATTTTCACACATTTGATTGTGTGTTCTATTTACAGCTAATGTTACTTATCCTGGGATTAACTAAGAATTTGTTAATGGCTTTGCAAATAAAAGATCAGGACATTTCAAATGTCATATCGCTTGTAGACTCAACTAAGCGGTAATTGCAAAAGCTTCGCGAAGATGGATGGAATTTGTTTATGGAAAAGGTTTCTTCTTTCTGTGAAAAATATAATGCAAATACGCTTATGATGGATGAAGATTTTGTGGATCCAAGGAAGCCAAGATAAAAGACAGGTATAACCAATCAGCATCATTATAAAGTAAACTGTTTCTACACTGTTCTGGATTTGCAGTTTCAAGAGTTTAATGATCGATTTACAGAGGTAAACACTGATCTGCATATTTGTATGGCTTCTTTAAATCCTCACAATTCCTTCCGCGAGTTTGATAAGTCAAAACTGTTGAGATTGATTAAGTTCTATCCAGATGACTTTAGTTATGAGGAGCAGTTGTCTATTAAGCTTCAACTTGGAATCTACATTGATAATGTAAAACATGATGAACGGTTTAAAGATTTAAAGAGTCTTGGAGATCTTTCTCGTTTGATGGTGGAAACGAAGAAACATCTTGCACATCCTTTGGTATACAAGCTTTTAAATTTAGTCTTAACTTTGTCAGTTGCTACTGCAAGTGTCGAAAGGTGCTTTTCTGCGATGAAATTAGTGAAGACTGCTACACGCAACCGAATTAGAGATGAATTATTGAGTGATTGTTTAGTATGTTCTATTGAAAAGGATTTGCTTGAGTCTGTTACAAATGAAATGGTGGTGAAAAGATTTCAGTGTATGAAAGAACATAAAGTACATCTATAAATATAACGGGGTTTGGTTATGTTTTTTTTTTAAATATTATTTTATCTGATAACTTTTATTTTTTTCCCTGATAAAAATAATTTCTATATCTGCAACTGTTCTGGGATGAAGAAACACTCGTGTTCAAGAAACTGATTCAGTTAACGATCGAAAGTAACCTGGAAGTAGGATGGGAAGCATTGCCAGGTTTGCTTATGAATTGTCCAAAACTACAAACCCTTCTTATAAATGTATAAAATAGAATTCATTAAATCATATTTGTTTCTCTGTTATAATTTAACCTTTGATGCTCACATATATAAAAATATGTTTGAATAGGGTCTTTGATTTTTTTGGAATTTTTAGAATTCGTTTTTTTTCTCTATTCTTTAGTTGTGAAGAAAAAAAATATGTAATTTCGTTTTTTCCTGCAATTTTGAGTATTTTATCAGCTTGACATTTTTCTTTTATTTGTTATCTATGGTTTCGATTTTTAATATCGTATGTTCGATCTCAAATATCTTAGAACTGGCATTTAAAATAAATATATATTTTTCTTCAGGGTCTCTATCACAGACATCACGATGGATGTGGGAATGTGTGCGGCTGGGAATGTCTGGAAAATATTCATTTTTTCCTTTCGTCTTGTCCGATGAAAATGCAAAAGATATTTATTAGGTCTCAACACATTTGTGACAACAGAGAGATGGACATAGTCCAGATTAGGCATTTCTTGAAGAAAATGCCGGCTCTTGAAAAGTTGATAGTATACTACCATACATCACTTGACACTGATGTGTTTAATTTATTCAAGAGGCTTCAGGAGACTCCAAAAGTAGCTTCACCAAAGTGCAAGATCCAAATGATCTCTCGCAATCTTTATTTGTCATCTACTTTTCCTTGAAATGCTAAGTTTTTCGAGAAGAAGAGTCCTCTTGGTTTCTGAGTTAGACTCAAAAGCAATTAACTTTGCTGTGTTACTCTATCATTTGTACTTTGCTTGTCATCTTAGTTTCATGACTGGTGTTTTATTTGTACTTTTTCTTTTCCTTTTTAAAACTGAAGATACTAAGTTTATGTCCTAAATTTTATTTCTTGTCTAAGGACTAATGGTAACGACATAACCATGTTTGATATTTGTTTGCTTGTGTTATGATGTAAACATGAATACTCATACATCAGTACATGATAAGGAATGGAGCAAAGGAGACACTAAGCTAGTAGTCGTGAGGAATGGAGGACTTATAGATGAGGAGAAAAGCGAGTTTGTAGCTGCTTTCAAAGGAGATATGAACCTATCCTCTAAACGCCACCGTTTCAGCCATCAAGAGGATCAGTATACTCAACTAAATGACGAGCCAATTCAAGACAAAACACCAGGAAATCAAGCTAAACCGCCAAGACATTTAATTGGACCTACATGTGTATTTGGTGAGCTATATAAGGAAACCACGATCTTGCTTTATTCTTTGGGATATTCAGAAGATAAACAGACCCACATACCAGCTAATAACCGGAGTTATCGCATTCAAATCAAGGAGGAACCGCCAAATCTTTTCAAACCGCCAAATAGAGCAACACTGGAGGTAGTTAAGGAAGCAAGGGATCATATGATGAGGACCTCCACCCGGTTAAGGTACCCATTATGTATGAACCACCAAGAACATGTTCGGGCACAAGGACCATGGAGGAAGAATTCAACAAAGCTGTAGAGAACCACCTCAACCTTAGGCAAACAGATGATATCAACACTCTTCTCAAACAGCTATGCATGACGGGTTGGGACGGAGACATAGAACGGGACAAGACGAGATGGTACGATGACATGGAACGGGAGAGGACGGGACAGTACGACAACATTACGAACCACCCTCATACCACGGTCAACAGCATTACGTACCAGCCATGTACCATGGACGAGAGCATTACGGTACGCGTGACCGGAGGATACAACGATCAAATGGGCCAACACTTAGGCGAATTCCAGCCTAGCTCAAGAGAGAGCTCAGCCTAGATGAATGGCCCCTTCTCAAAGATAGCCTCTGCCCAAATCTGTTGATCATCGCCCCACTTCAAAACGACCAAGCTTAAACCAAACGTAGCAATAAAGACTTACCTTATTCGGTTCCAAAACTAAGCAAGAGGTAACGGTAAGATTTGTCATTTACTTTCATAATATTTCGTGTTTTTCTTTTTGTTTTGCAGGACTTTATTTTTAGTTTCTTTTTACACTTCTTAGAATAAACTTTTGTAATCTTTTTGGTTATGCTCTTTTATATTTTTGGTCTTGCATTTACCTTATTTTCGACCCTAAAAGGTCACTGTCGAAGGACTATTAATAAAGTCCCGTATGCGACATTATAGCTCACGTTTTTACCCTATTATCAATAAAGAACACACTTTCTTCTAAAAGAGAGTAGCCGCCGAGTTCTTGAGCATTGTGCTTCCCCTTTGTTCTTGAGTTCAAACTGACTTTATCACGGTCCAATCAACAACTGTGTGTGTGTGTCATTCGATCCATTGTTCATTCCCATTCATTTGATTAAGTAAAGAACGCTGTTTGGACAGTTACTTGATCACCGTACCACCATACCATTCATCACGTACCAGATCCAAGTAGAGAGTGCCATGTGGACAGCTACTTGTTCCTCCATAGTACCAGTCATATAAGATCATACCCTTAATCTTATATCATTTGGTATCAGAGCTTAAAGCTCCTACGCCAGGTTCTATCTATTCCTTTAGATCTTTGTTTTTGTTTTCATTGCTTAGTTCTTTGCTTTTCATAAACCAAAAACCAAATAAAAATCGTGCGTTTGCTTTTTGTTTCATTTGTTTCAATTATCTTTATAAGAACCCAAAGGAATTTCGCTTGTTAAGTTATTAGATTTGCTTTTATAAACCCCAAAAGTAAAAAAATTGCTAAGTGTTTTGTTTACTTGCTTCAGCTAAAAAACTTGTTACACTTGTGCTTGTAATCTGTTTGTTAATCTACGCAGGTTATACTGATGGGAGAACAAGGAGCACCGGTTGACATGGCACAACTCTTAGGTGCTATCTAAGCCCTTGGTGAGAGAATGACCAGAATTGAGCGTTTACCTTTACCACCAGCACCACTTCTTCCAAGGAGAGGACCCTTGAGACAGCCTCGCCTGCCAAACGAGCAAGAGGAAACAGATGAGGACATGCCCGGCTTAGATAATGACCCGCCACCAGCACCAAATGTTTAGAATCAACCCGCGGGACGAGCTAGGGATCCCATACACCAAGGACGTATCCGAGAAGAAGAAGCTTACCAACCCAACAACAATGATGTGAAGCTGAATGCCCCAACCTTTGCGGGAAAGGTTAACCCCGAAGCTTACCTAGAATGGGAGAGGCGAATGGAGTACATCTTCGAGTACTATGGGTACAATGATCAGAAGAAAGTGTCACTAGCAGCCGCTCAGCTAACTGACCACGCCTTGTCATGGTGGGATCAAGACGTATGTATCAGAGAGGAGAAGGCATCGTCATGAGCAAATCAGCACGTGGGTCGACATGCGGTTCAATATGAGGAGGCGGTACGTACCACCTCACTTTCACCGAGACCTCCAGAAGAAGTTTTGTAAACTGGTGCAAGGCAGCCGGCTTGTAGAGGAGTACTTCGAAGAATTTAAGCAGCTATGTAACCGTTTGGAGTTCAATGACACGGAGGAGACACTCATGGTGCAGTTCATAGACGGTCTTCAAGACCGTATAACGAGAAAGGTGGAAAGACAACCGTACCTTGACATGTCCGAGCTATTACACTTGGCCATACAAGTGGAGCAACACGTCAAGTGTAAGGTAGCAGCTACAAACCGTTCAAAGCCAAACACAAGCTGGACTTCTACACCACCAAAGGCGTTTGACAAAGGCAAAGCCGTGGAGATTGATTCCCAATTTAAAAAGCCAGCAGCCGAGTCCTCTAAGACAACTCGGCCATAGCAAGGTAAGCCTCCATTTACTCAAAGAACACGTGACATTACATGTTTTAAATGTCAGGGAAGAGACCATATGGCGAGAGAGTGCCCCAACAACCGAGTCATGATCCTCACGGCTGATGGAGGTTATGAATCTCAAGATGAGATGAAAGAAGACACGATGGAAGCCGGGGCAGAGGAGATTGAATATCCTGATTCAGGAGAGATGCTAGTGATTCGTAGAGCCCTCAGTGTTCTTGTTAAGCCAGAAACGATTCAGAGAGAAAACATCTTCCATACCAAGTGCACCGTGAACACCAAGGTATGTTGTTTAATAATCGATGGTGGTTCTTGCACTAACATGGCTAGCAAGTATATGATAGAGAAGTTAGGCTTGGATACTACAAAGCATCCGAGACCCTACAAGCTAAGATGGCTAAACGATGACACGGAGTTGAAGATAGCGGACCAAGTGGTTGTTACTTTCAGCGTTGGAAGATATCTAGATAAAGTGACATGCGATGTGGTACCAATGCAAGCGGGACATCTATTGCTTGGGAGGCCTTGGCAGTTTGACAAGGAGGCTATACATCACGGCCGTACCAATCACTACACTTTCACACATGACAAGCGCATGTATAACTTAGCTCCCCTCACGCCGAACCAAGTGCATGAAATGCAACTCAAATTTGCTAAAGATGCAAAGGTAAGTAAAGCTAACCTGTTTGTTTCAACTAAAGCTATTAATCGTGCTTTAAAATGTCAAGACATGGTGCTACTCATGGTCTTTAGAGAAGGGTTACTTTCAAGAGCTAGTGAAGTGGAGTTACCCATGGAGATAAAGGCTTTGCTAGACAAGTTTCAATACGTCTTCACTGAGGAGATACCTTCTGGCCTGCCACCAATCAGGGGGATAGAGCATCAGATAGATTTGGTGCCCGGCTCAGCCTTACCCAACATGCCAGCTTACCAGATGAACCCTGCAGAGACTAAGGAGCTAGAAAAGCAAATACAAGAATTGGTGTCTAAGGAGAGAAAGTCTAAGCCCTTGTGCGGTTCCCGTCTTGTTGGTGCCTAAGAAGGATGGAACATGGCGGATGTGCATGGACTGCCGTGCCATTAACAACATCACCATCAAATACCACCATCCCATTCCCCACCTAGATGACATGTTAGATGAGCTTAGTGGAGCTACCATCTTCTCAAAGGTGGATTTAAAGAGCGGATATCATCAAGTACGTATGAAGGAGGGTGACGAATGGAAGACTGCTTTCAAGACAAAGCAAGGTCTATATGCGTGGATAGTGATGCCATTCGGTCTTGCCAATGCCCCGGGTACATTCATGAGGCTCATGAATCACGTCTTAAGGACGTACATTAGTAAGTTCGTTGTTGTTTACTTTGATGACATTTTGATATATAGTAGATGCCTTGTGGATCACTTAAAGCACCTTGAGCAAGTACTAGAGACACTTCGTCAAGAAGGACTCTTTGCAAACCTCAAGAAGTGCACCTTTTGCACTACCGAGTTGGTGTTTTTAGGTTTTGTTGTAAGCTCGCAGGGACTAAGAGTGGATCAGGAGAAGATACAAGCTATACAAGACTGGCCTACACCCTCTTCTACAGGACATGTCCGGAGTTTTCACGGCTTAGTCAATGATAAGGCTCAAGTTTTACCCAAATAAAACTACTGCAAGTGCACAGCAAAGCAGTTGTAGTACAAGGGGTATCGAATCCCAAGGGAGTATGTAAACTACACTATCGAATGTAGGTTTGGATTAAGCTAAGCAGTAAGCGATGTCTGTAATGCGAATGACAAATTAAATGTAAGCAAACGAAATTTGGTTGTTGATCTAAGTTTCAGAAGACTAAAAGTGCTAAGTCATGACAGTTCGCAGGTTGAATCCGAGAATGTAGAATGCATAAAATCAAGTATGATTAAGAACCGTTTTAAACATGA